TTTCTCTCATTAGAGTTATTAGCGAATAAATTAAATCGCATAAAATTCCTTCGTGCGTAGTCATGAACGCATTATTTCATAATTTAGAACTACGAGTCATATGGCCAGTAGGTATATTTTTGAATTTAGTAACCGAGTACGTTTTTTTAATTTTTTTAGAGCAGTGTAATAATGTCTTTAATTCCATTTAATTATAATAAATGTATTGGTTTGAGATAATCTCTTGTAATTTTTATGACATTTTCATCTCCATACAAAGGGAGTAAAAGGGTTATTTCAAAGAAGCACGCTAACATTGCGTAATCTCTGTAAACATACTCAAGTATTTAAATTTCTGAATATTCACCTAATAAATTTGAGATAGCATTTTTCCAAATTTTGATGACGAATTAATGAAATTATCAGTGAAGGAAAAGTCATTTGAGTTCTTTTCTATTCTTAACCCCTTTTATCTGAGCCAGCCTGGGAAGTAATAAATACAGAAGGTAAGTCTATAAACGTAGACGAAATTTGCAAGAATGCATCGAACCACACCATAAACCTGAGAATATCCACCTTTACAAAATGGCGCCCAAACGTGAGGCAAAAGTAGGGCACCCATTACATTTATGGGGAAGTCTACGCCCAAATCTCAGTGGTCCAAATCGATATATTCGGTTTGGACCCTCTTTTTTTCCTACACTCGTAAATCAAAATTTTTAAGAAAGACCTATATACAAAGTGAGTCGACGAAAATGTGTACCCAAACAAAAATTAGAATAAAAACACCAATAAACCACTATATAATTAGAATATCGAACGCGTTTCGATATTTACTTACATACGCCCTTAACTTCGCCAAAAAGGATTTGATAAAAATTAGAAAATCGGTTGATTTTTATATCGGGGAAGCTAATTTTTATGCAAAAATGATTTTCGTAAATTTAACCTTGTCCCAGGGGATGGAATCCCTCACAAATTTTTAAAGGGAACGAGAGGTCAGATGGATTTGGAATGGATTTTTCAGTACCTACACGATCGTTTTGTGGTTTTTAAAATCAATCCATTAGTTGCAGGGAAATCGCGCTAAAATTGCTTATAAAGGGTAGTTGAGTTGGCGCTGCTATTTCTCAAAACCCGCCGCATAAACGAATCTAAAACACAAAATAAAAGCTTGCGAATATTCTACAGTGGTACGGGGGGATAAAAAAGAGAATACAAGCCAATTTAAGTACCAAAATATATACTGATGGTTTATACACGTATATCAAATCCAACTCCACGATGGTATAGCGTACAAAAAATTATTCATTATTTATCATACACAAAAATCTTAGTAACTTGACTTTACAATCAAGAATGATCGATTGAATTGAGGCCGGGACATTTCGCCGAATGCCCACAACGCCGACACGATTTTTTGAAGGTCCATATCGCCGACTAGGGACACTACGCCGACGGACACTACGCCGACCATGCCCACATCGTCGACAAGTGCGCAAGGGACACAACGCCGACCATGCCCACTTCGCCGACGGACACTACGCCGACCGTGCCCACATCGCCGACAAGTGAACAAGGGACACTAAGCCGAACGTGACCATAACGTCGACTCATACAACACTTCTTAATCAAGCTGGACGGTGTGCAACACCAAGTAGCTTTTGACGTTAGGTTATTGTAGGTTCAGAATATTTTTTTTAACTTTTTTCGAACTACAGACTCATACGAAAATTCTTAATCAAACTGGACGGAGTGTGAAGCAAAGCAGCTTTGGATATTAGGTTATTTGTAGGTTTAGGACATGTTTTTTAAACTTTTTAAAAGTAGTGTCCGTCGGCGAAGTGGGCATGGTCGGCGTTGTGTCCCTTGCACACTTGTCGACGATGTGGGCACGGTCGGCGTAGTGTCCGTCGGCGTAGTGTCCCTAGTCGGCGATATGGACCTTCAAAAAATCGTGTGGGCGTTGTGGGCATTCGGCGAAGTGTCCTAGACCCGATTGAATTGATTACTGAATTTTGACACAAATAAATTGAGGTTTCAAACACAAATGCGTACATATACGGCCAAATACAAGTAAAACATAAGAAAGGTGACGCTTACTTTAATTTAAAAGGAGATGTCATCCACAGAAGTGAGCTCAGTTCCCGGATTTCCATGAATCTGCAAACAAAAGGAAACTCCCAATTCGCAGAGTTTGGAATCCAAAGAACTGAACAATGCCTGAAGGGCGTCGCCTTATTCGTAGTAAGCTCCTATAAGATACGGTTACTTAGCCAACGCTTCGGAAGGAAGTGGCCGTCTTCAATAACATAGGTACGCGAGAAAAATCAATTATAACTTTACAAGGGTCGTAAGATAATAAAACAAATACTGAATGTAACAAGTTAATTAAAAGTGAGAGCATATATATCCCTGAAGGGGAAAAATAGTTATTGAAAGTTGTTTCTTGGTTATGGATCGAATCTTGTTGTCAAATCTAGTGCATGACCCAGTTTCAGCAAATGGCGGCTCTCAAAAGGTTTTGTTCGTTCGTGCACAGATCGTAACTTTACTTCAGGGTTACCCACATGCGTATGCAATACGTATCCGGAATTATACTTAGGATGGAATTGGATCTGGTCCTTGAACTGGTACCATGAATTTAAATAGCCTTGGACGTGACATTAAAACTGAAAATCAAAACATCAATCCAACTTAGATCTAAGATTAAAAACCCTCTTCAAATAAGAGGGCTAATTATACAGTGATATTCATGTAGAAGTAGACATAGGGATTTCCTATGTCTACTTTTAAATGATAAAAAGTCTTCTGAAGGACGCCTAACTTTATGCAACCAAAATAACTACCTACAACAAATGAAGATCCTCCTATCATATTATTTAATTTGAATATTTTCGTTCGTATGCGATGTATTCAACTAAAGAAAAAGTTGATATTTCCAATTGGTATAGTGCCGGTAACAATTAAAGGAGCTTAAAAGATTTATTTTCTGTGAACCCAAAGCAACAATATTCAAATCAATAATTAATATGACAGCCATATCTTTATTTGTTTCAAGAAGTTATTTTGTTTGCATAAAATTAGGCGTCCTTCAGAAGACTTTTTATCATTTGAAAGTAGACATAAGAAATCCCTATGTCTACTTCTACATGAATATCACTGTAGATGAATACGCAATAGTCGTCGACGAAAAATCGTATTCCGGAACCTAAAGAAGAAATACGTCACGCAGATTAAATTCAAATGGCGTACTTACTTACAATGAAGTAGAATATCCCAACTATATCCTCCTACTGGAGTGAAGGGGCGAAATTCCATTCACAAATTAATGCAGAATCCCCCAATTAACCGAATTTAATCGCCAAGTATTAATACACATGGGTGGCGCTGGTAGCAATTAAAATCCCGTGCGTTTCGCTGTTTGATTAAAAATCAAGTGCACTCTGTCACAGCTGACGAACGAAAGAGGAAAATGAATATTAACCATCAATAACGAAATTACGTGTTTAAAATTCCAAGGTTACAACTGATACGAGGATCATTCAACAAGTTAATATACCGGGAGCAATAATAATGCTTCCAATGAAGAAAATAAATCGTTACAACCTACCATAATACAATCCAGATTCAAACCCAGATGTTACATTTCTCGAGACCTCGGGAATCACTCTTCAACATTAGGCGAAAAATTTTCGTCGTAGTTCTGGAAATTTGCGTTGGGACACGTTCGGAAAGGGATCTATGAAAACTCAACCCGGTCTGGAATCTGATTTCTAGAGATGCTTACCTGGATTTGACTTTTAAATCCACCCCTGCAAACAACATGAGCTGATGGTATAAGTAATAATGAAATGACCCAGTGACTTTTGTTGAATTTAAGATTTTGTTGTTGTAATTAGTGGTAGTATACCTATAGTAAGTAATTGGTTGATTACATGAGATTTGGCACGTTATTGAAGGTAATCATTAGATTAAGGTGACTCGATTTGAAATTTCGAATTTTTCTGGTAAAATAAGTATGTGTGTAGACCTGACGGCAACTTTGGACCTTCCTTTGGATCACCATAGATAACCAAAAGGTACACCACCTAGACCAAATATTTCGATGAAAATGTAGACTTCGAGTGAAGCAATAATATGAAGACCTCATATGTGCTTTTAACTTGGTTTCTTCAGGCGCTCACCTTAATTTAAACTTTCGCTGGTTCGTTTATGCAAAGAAGGCTAATAATTTAGTCTGGTACATATGAACTCTAATGATCTCTCGGCCGTTTCCGGTTAGATGAGCTTTACAATAGATGATTTTACTACCGATGGTGACAAACGACATGAGACGCAAAAAATCGTATTTATAAAGTGAATCGATAAATAAAATAATCTAAAAAATGTTAATGATGCCATTTTTTTCGTTGCAGACCTCTCAAAGTTGAACTAATTTCGCCAAGAAAAAGAGCTTTTGACCTGAATCCTTTTGTATCGAATGGCCGATGTAGCATGTTCCGAAGATATTGATCTGGTTAAGTTTGGAAGTGCGGTTACATTCGGATCAAGGATGAAGAATGCACATTTTATTGCACTTTTTCAGTTACGTAGGTATTTACGTCAAAGCGAACGGGAGCTTTTTCAAAGTTTTGAATGCCGAAGGAAGTCAATTTGTAAACTTAATTTCAATTTGTTCTATAAAATTGGCAATTTAACCCCCAGTCTCGTGGGACGAATTTCACTTACTTCATAACATACTTGGGGCGTCACAGTTCGCACGTTATTAGAGTTCCAATAATAGCTACCTGGTGTCTATTCGTGACGGTGTTATCACGGCCGAAATCGATAGCGTCCACGTATAGCATTAATTCGTGCCAGAATATCATTAAGATAATTGGGTAATATCATCGGTGATTTATGAATTACCTGGGTGCGCGCGGAGTCAGGTGAAACAGTAGTCCCTTCTCTTTCGCCAGGTGAGCAGAAGGCGGGACTGGGCCGGCCCGATCTCCACTAAGTCAAATGCCGCCCGGTGATCTGAACGCATCGTCAGTCCGTCAGTTAGAATCGCTGTCATAACAAACCCCTACGCAGGATACACGCGCGCACCTGGTCTTAATAATTAATCAATCGTAATTAATATAAATTAATTTAATTATGGAATATTGTTAAGTTCGTGAGTGTCGTAGGGTGCGCTAACTGCGGACGTTAAAAGCGCACATTTTCTTAGTAATTAGTATTCTTTGGTGTGTTTTGATTGCTGCACGGCCAGATTAAGCAGCTTCACAGGATAGTGGTCGTATAAAAAGGACACGGGGCGCCGCTCCGCGAGTGACAAGAGAGTAAGGGCAAGGATCGAGGATAACCGACCCATACCGAGGGTAGCGTCGACGCCGCCCGCCTTCAGCGCCGGCCCCCACCACGAGAGCGCCGGACACCACAGACAGCATCTCGGCGCCGCTGAGCTCGCACGTCACCTGCAGCCAATCACAGCTAGACATGAAAAGTGAACATCATAACTGTCATAAGACAAATTCATAATATTTACCCCTCCGAGAAGCCTCGGGCATAATGTGTAGTTAGTTGACTGTGGTGGACAGTGAGTGGACTGTGCAGTGCGGCATGTCACGAAGGAAACAAGCGAGGCCCATCCGACTCCTTGAGGAGGAAGACGGCCCAACTTCAACACCGGCCATCGGTAAGTGGTGCACGGATTTACAAAAAAGGCACCCTCACACAGTACACCCCTTCCGAATCATTCCGCACACTAAGTCCCGCCGAAGGAAATTCTCCCACCCTTAAAAATAAATAATTCGCGAATCGCTCCAAAATTTCGACTTCGCGGATTTTTGCTCCAGCACAAGAAAAGAGTTTGTTACCGACGGACGGCTTGACGTAATTCCCTTAAAGAACTGCGAGGCATGCGAAAAATTGAGTCGAACATAATGGATCAAACAAACCGCCTCGATGTTATTTTCCAATTGTATATATTGATATAAAGCTTACGGAAGTCAAAACGACTTTGCGGAATATCTTATAATTACACTTTCGTAGAAGTTACAACTTTAATTGCATTTGTCATCGATGCAATTCCATCGAGATACCAACCGTCACAGAGTTACAGATAAAAAGCGTCAGGACATACAGCTTTGAATCCGTGAGAATGCACTCGCGACAGCTACCCGTGTAACGTACATCAAATCATAACTGCACATACCTTTATGTATTTGCTGTTGAAAAAACTGGATTTCTTGTTTAATTGATGATGAACGACCGGCTTATACAAAGGACCATAATTTGTTGTCAATTTCTGGATATATTGACGTTCATAATTGGTTTTTGTCGAAATGCGGTCGGTTTGATCTCGGTTGTCAACTCTTTTTCTCGTAGAATATTTATTTAAGTAAACGCGCGGTTTCGATTTTTTTCCCTTATATCGTGTGGCGTTAGATATTTTTTTGCTAAATGCAAAATGTGGAGCTTTCGTCGCTTCGGGCACGACATACGGAATCGATTTGTATAGGTATAGAATGTGTAACATTGCGGTAGCTCCAATTCCGTTCACTTACACCTGATTATGTTGATAGTCTTGCAAATCATAAAGTGATGAAGTGTTAGCACGAAGGTATTACCGGACCGGACTGACAACGTTTATCTAATAAAAAATGACAGATTTACAACTTCAGCCATTAATGATACTAATATAAGAAACAGGTTTGTCTTTGCGCCCACTTATTGTAGGTAAAATCAGCTTTGTAACGTTTATAGTACTTAAGATAAGCTTGGACAACCCCTAAAATCCGCGAGGCAAATTAATTACGTCGAAGCTTAAATTATAATTTTGTCGTATTAATCAAATGGCCGCCATTTTGTAACCCTTTTGTATTATAATCTCATTAGAAAGCTGTCTGTTATAACCAGCCATGCATACACAAATAGCAGGGTTAAACACGGGCTAAAGGGGGTTAACGGGGCGGCCTGATCAAAGATTGTGCCCTTCGTAATATACGGCTATCTGCGCGTTGGCCATATACTAAACACATGTAATAATAAGCCGAACGCAATTAAATGCCTCCCCCTTTTCGAATCAGATTTTTAAACTTGCACCCCACCATTTTCTGGTGTTTGCTCAGGATCGCTCTTCATAATCACAGGACATCGCGTTCGTCCCTCATTCCGACAGACTTGACAAGAATTTTATTACGATTCATTTATTCCACGATTTTAAATTGAATTCTGAGAATTTAATGTGCGAGTACACTTCAAATGGGGTCGTATTCCGATAATAAAATTTAATAAATCTCGGTTTGTAATTACAGCGCACATTCCTGTCCCGACAATTTTTTTACCGGTGAAAGTCAGCCTCTAAATCTCGCAGTTTAGTTACGGTTAAAAATCTCTCAAAAATGACAGATTTTGGCAAAACACAATTTATGCCTTTATAGGCGTATAATTTTTTTCCTAGAAACTCAACTCGGTAGGTGGGTGCTCGAGAATGTCCCCCATAAATCTTGGCCATTTTCGCTATAATGCTACCGAAATGTTTTAGTGTTAAACTGAATTAATTAAAAGACTATTAAATCTGAATTATGCAAAACCGAAATTATTACGGCTCTGTCATTAAAAACTCCTGCGTGTATATTTAAGCTCCCCGAGCTTGCACTGTAAATCTGCCTGTTAGCATTCATGATAATAACTCTGGAATAATTAGCGGTGTAATAATTTTATATTATGAAGGTTGCTTGTCTTATTAAACTTACTAATAGCTGCAAGGCACATAAATTTGTTGTATGCGTGCTGCATAATTAGATCATTTAGATACTGCTGTGCTGATCATTATTGGAGATACTCAAAATTCAACAAATTTCTGCATCTTTACTGTTTTGCAACATTTTGAATATCGGATGAGCTGCAATTAATTTTACTTAAACGTTTGGCACAAATTGCCGTAATGTTTGTAAATACGCCTACTTGCCACATATTTTAATGGAGGAATGCAATCTATTTATTTTTAAATTCTTGTGCACTGTTAAAGTTGTACTCATCAGTTCGGTACGGATATACCACTAAAACTTCTCGCTACATTAACAGTAGACTTTGTAATTGCCAGTAATAACAATAACTTAAGGGTACTTCATTTATACAATAATTGAAACTGGTTAAGCCTTGAATGTATAATTTCATTTGCGTAACAAAATAGACATAAACAAATTATTGTAATTAATGACGATTGTTTGAATATATCATTTTTATATATATTTAAATTTCAGATTTGAAAATATTGATTAATTAAATCTTTTAACTCTCCTCAAGGTTCGGTTTCCAATTAGTATAGTTTGGAGCAAAAAGTAATGAGGAATTCAAGCAATTATGGGAATTTGTCGGCAACCTGTCCGATAAAAATGAAATGAAAAAATCAGTCATTTTCTACTATACATAATTAGATTAGAGTGTGTGGTATAGTTTACGCATCGTGTAAATGAGCCCCATTAGAACGACATAAATGTGATGTAGTGTAACGGTACAAATGTTAGCATTGTTTTAAAATTCAATTATCATTTTTAATATCATCCTTGTTTGGTTGTACTACTACTGGTGTGTGGAAAAAGGATGCAGATGCTTGGTGTGAGCTTTCTTCACGCGTGCAACTATTACAATACTGTCTCCGTATATCATCGTCTTGCTAAAAATAATACCTAGTTGTGTTGTCTATCGTTTCGGCAGATAAAATGAAATGTATAACACTTTTATTTTTATACACTTTCTTTTATTTCCGTCAAATTCTTGAAATTGCACAAATTGTAGACCAATCGCCTGAAACGCCCCAGGTACCATACAGAATGTTTACATTGAAAACAGGGTATCGTGCCAAATGAGTTTTAATTAATATTTACATTTTGCTACAAACCGATGCATAGTAGGTTAACGGTAGCTTTTTCTAACGAAAAAATATTAAGGCATTAATGCAATTCATTTTGGCACGTTACTAATATTTCTTAGAAATTAGCGAATGGTGGCTAGGTGCCATAGAATCTTTTATTATATACTATTGTCATATTTTTTGAGTATTTAGAATTCTTGGCACGTTCTCCACCTTATAATTTAGATATTTGTGCTCGTCGCCCGATTTTAGCCTAAGCTCGCCGAAAAAATTACCTATTGATTCCGTTTGCGTAATCGGAGAAAGGCGCACAATTGAAGTGAAGGTTGGTTTTAAGCGTTATTAATGAGTTTTTAGCAAGTACCTTAATCCACGCCTCATTTACATTAGGCGAGTGTTTTGATACCTACATTAATCAACATTCCAAATTACCTAAGCGAGGCAACTTTTAGGCACTTACGTTTTGTTTCTACACCACAACAATTTATTTGGTGCCCACCAATTCTCAATGAAACGGCATGTGAAGTTTACGAAATAAGGAAGCTCCAGTGTATAATGATGTTTGTATTTCTAAAAGGCGCGTAGTTCTCATTGATATAAAATATGCACCGTCCTAAGATTAACACTTAGATATAAATTTACTTTTCAAATAGAGAATTAATGTGGTAATATTTAGCTTCTCGTATTTCATAAAAAGCGCATTTTAAGTATGGATTAATGATAATTACACGTTTTAAAAGTATTATTTCCTAAATGAAAATGAAAAAATTAAATTAATTATAATATAAAGTGCTGAAATATTATTTTGCTTATCTATAACAAACACTAGTAGTGACTTTTTATGGCATAATTATTCAACTCGCATGTTAATATATTTTTAACCTTTTTTTTAAATATAATTACACCCCGTCTATAGAGCGAATAAATTAGCACTTATGTTTCGTCTGTAATGAATTATTAATCATAATTTTAGTTTTTATTTGTATGTCGTTATACAGTTACCTAAGTTAAAAAATGTGAAAAACCATTTCTATCTCGATATAATAATCTCGATTCCCACTGAGTTATGTTTTATATTAAAAAGATCTATTACGCTAAAGTTGCGAGTTTGTCATTCTTATGGAGAGAAATACCTTCAAATTTATTTTGACAGTTTTGATTTTACATATACCGGATTACGTAAATACTTTATATGGGAATAGAATTTTTAAACAAACATTCCGCCTGCTTACTTACGTTCCGCATTTAGATACACTTAATTAAAAATATATCTTTTTTGGTTATTTCCTTCGTAGGAAGCTTTTCAAAAACGGTATATAGTGTTCCGATGCTATTCAATAATCTTATTAATACGTTTTAAGCCAAATTTTCAATTTCTCCAAACAATATTCTTACGTTTTTGTATTTTTTAACGCATTAATAATTATAAAGGCTAACATTAGGTTAGTAAAAAGTTAACGAGTTCTCGATCATAATTTACTATTAAAGATTAAGGTTCACAATGGCTTATCATTTGGCAGGAATCTTCCCAATTCATATTTTAGTGTTTAGTTAGTACCTATTACGTTTAGTGCTTCAAAAATTATCAGTGTCTATAATTGCAGTGTAACAATGTCTCAGTCAACTTTACGATTGGAATGAAACTTTTTATCTGTACGCGAGTTGTGCTGGCGTGGTGCATCGCTACTACCAACGCATAAACCATGTTACTACGGTAAAATTTTGAGGCGACCAACTACCGATTTTCATTGGAATGTAATTCATTATCGCACGCTTTTCCATAATTAGCAAAATTTAATTGTCGTTAAAAGATCACA